CAGGCAAGACGCATGGATGAACTCATTCTCCTCAAAGAGTTGAGGTATGTTCACACTCAAGGCTTCAATGGCAACTTCTACTTGTTCAACAAAGCATGGCATCGTTGTCTCAGAAAGCAATTCTGTAACTTCCAGCACCTTCTCAGTATAAACCCCAGCTTCATAATTCTCCATCTCAGAATTGATGATGTGTATGACTCATGCTGCCCAACCTCCGATGGCCCTTGTAGTCCAGTACAAAGTCTCCACATGTCCCCCTCTTAGAGGGCTATCACACACTTGTTCACATCCTCCAAGATATGGTTTTCTTAGACAGACAGAAAGTCATCCACTGAGGTAATGTCATCCACCACCTCTGTCAACATATGGATCTCCTTTTGTCACTGGTCTTTGAAGACGTCCATGTTATCCTGAGCAACTCCACTCTGGCTGGGCAGCCAGTGTGAGAGTGGTATTGATGACCAGGCTATCAATCTGGGTGGCCACCATCCAGACTAATTTCACCCCTCCCTCATTGTTGGAGATGGGACAGACCAAACTGGCAACTGGTGTCGGCAGTACTGGGTTCCCCCTGGAAGCTCTATGGTGAGTGAATCCATTCTCTCGCCTTCTCTAGCTACTAGGGGCTGCTCATGTTCCCTTTATAGCTCCCAACCTGGATGTGGCTTTTCTAAGGACATTCTGTCTTTGGTACTTGCTTCAGTTTTTCCCATCCAAGTTCAAGGAGGCCATAAAAAAAGAGAGATGACAAAGAAAATTTGAACACTTTCCAGGTTAGCCTCCGAATGATGCCCTGACTACAATCTCAGAGTACCCTTCATCATGAGATGTGAATAATCAATAGTTAGATCTATTTTTCAAGTGCCATGTTCCATCTTTAAAAGAACAAATTGATGAATATTGTTCCTAATTTTGCATAGGGTTTAAAGGCCCAGATACTATAGTAAGACCCTATGAGTTCACTACTTCTAGTAGTGATAATGGTACCTTCCTCAGTGAGTTACCCTAAGGATTGAGAAACACTACAAATACGATCCTTAACACAATGTCTGGCATAAGCACTTCATCCATAGTTGCTGTAATTTTTATTACTGTCAGGGCACCCAGTAAAAAATTTCATTATCATATGTCTAAGTGGAAAGGGATCTCAGAAATACACTAATTCAATTGTATACCAAGGGAAATAACTCACTTTATGAAGTGATATCTAGCCTATATTTCCAAGCATAAATTCATCATCTCAAAGGCTATTCATGGCATTGCTGAATCACTTTAATTATTAAAAAGCTCTTCCTTTTACTGAATTCCAAATCTTTCTCCTGTTTTTCCCCTGGTACACCTGAAATAAAGTGATAATTACTTCTGTGTGACAACCCTTCCACTATCTGAAGTCTCCATCATAATAGCTCTTCAACTCCTCTGTCTGGCTGTACTTTGGGGAAGTGGCTAGCATTTCCAATTACAGACCAGCTTTCCCCACTTTATAAGTGCCACTGTCTGAGGTTTCCTAATGAAACCAAGCCATCTGAAAGGTCTAGGTGGAAGGAATAAATTCTCTTTAAGATCATAAATGATCTCTTTTCTACCTCCCTTCCCATGACAAATAGAATCCCTGTTCCATCCTGCTCTAGGAATACTACCAGTTGAAACACAAACACACCCACACATACATGCACAAGGAGAAGAAATTTAATTTATTGGTTGTTCTTTGGCAAAGGCTATATAGAACATTATTGGGGTGAAAATTAAATTCTAATTATAAATTCACAGAACTTTAAGCCACATTAGCTTTGATGAGTCTATCAAATTCTCTCCCCTCCTCATACACATTAAGATGATCTCAACCATAGTCTATATAATCACTTGTTGTTTTTAAATGATTAAAGCAGACATAATACATAATGCAGTTGATATCAAATATCTTGAAAAATCACAAATCAATAAAACTACTTTCATTCGTAAACATTAACAGGTCACTTGTAAATGTTCTGTACATGCACTTTTCATTTTAGATTTTCTCCTTAAAAGGACTTTATTTGTGAACTATTTATCATTATCTGCTGTTTGTATACACACATCATAAGTTTTCCAAAATAACATTTGAAGTCTTTCTTAATATTTCTGCAGAAATTTTATCTTTAAAGAGATATTTAATTTAAAAAAAAAATAGAAGCTCAGGTCTTGATTCTGTAACACGTGTTAGACGGGTCCAGATTTTGTTTCCTTATGACCTGATAAAAGTCTCCAAAGACACATGCCAGCTTTTTCTTTGCCCAACTTAGAAGCCATATAAAGGAGAAAAAGAAAAGATGCTTGAAATCACAGTGACCAAAGGATTTGAATTAATAATTACATTAAATAACCATAACTTTTTGCTTAACTATTCACATTCCACACAGTGGAAATTATCCTTTCCTCCAGATTTGTCACTTAATGCTTTTAACTTTGAAGAACTACAATAACAAAAAACAATTTACAGACTTACAAGATGCATGTTTTTTAATACTAGGCACAAAGTGTTCATTACAAAAATTCGTATTTGGTTTATGGCATTAGCTTGATAGGTATGATCACAAATATCTTGCATAAAAAGCTTCTATAATAATGAAAAAGATCATTACATCACTGGTGACTCCAATAAAATAGGTAACAGATATGACATTTTTAATAAATTTTGGAAGACACAGCATACTTGTGCTAGTTTTTAATATAGGCACAATAAAAAATAAAATTTAAAAAAAGCGGACGTTGCCCTCTTTGGCTAGTGCTGTGCTTTTTAGGGTAGTTATCTGCTGATTACCCTGGGGAATTTAATTTTGAGGAAATTCTCTACTTGAGCCAAATCCAACTTACATACAAGACTGTGGGATAAGCTCTGAAAAGAAGGCTACTGCTGCCAACTTAAGTCATCTCTTCTGAACAAAATTGCATGCTTGTGGTAGAGTTAAAAACAACAAGAGAAATTCAGGGTTTGCTGGTTCTGTGTGTCAGTTTTCCTCTCTGGTATGGTTTTACATTTTCAGCTTCTTCCCCTTCCTTTTCCTCTCCTCCTCTTAAAATTCTGCCTTAGCATTTGTGAGCTTAATTAAATCCTTCTGTGATTTACTGTTGGAGGACGTGAATGATACTGTACAAAGGGTCAGGGCAGGGGCGTACAGTGTATACAAAACACAGAGATCACGTATGCACAAATTCATCTAGTGTAGAATCATCAGTAGTGAGTTTACAAGTTTTAAAATTAGATCCAACATTTTGGATGTTCAGGGTAACCTCTGCCTTAATGTATGGTTTCTGTTCAGTTGTTAGATGGGAGAGCACTGGACCAAAACAAAACCAAAATAACAATAGCTTCTTTAGTTATGCTGGTTCTTTGAATGCTGGAGCCTTGATGGGCAATTAAATCCTGTGTCTAGAGTGTTTTCCATATTACACATGACTTGGCTAGTGAGGTTAAGAACATACAAAGCAGAAAGAGTATGTGATGGGTTTACAAACAAAACCTTAGGCTTGAAGAGAAAAGGTTAGCAAAATCTTAAGGGCACTGGTTCATTGGTTCACTCACCATGCACTTGGCCATTAGATAAATCCTAAATAGGCAATGCAAGCAGCCCAAGATGAATGGGAGGACAGGACCTACCAATAGGTACTGAATAGTTAACAGTGGATCCTATTAGAAGTAGCTTGGCAGCTAATACACTTCAATGCTCTGCTCTCTCCACAGGGTTTCCCTTAGGCCCTCAGGGGACAAATGGAGAAGGGAATGTCATATCCTATACATATCTAGCATTAACAACTAACCACTCCTTAGCCAGAATAATTCCCTGTGTTTCCTTATTCTCCTCTTCTCTCTCGCTCAACGTCTTAACAAAAAGACCCCAAATAGATTTCTAACAACAGTGAAATGGGCCCTAAATTCATCTTAGGCTATTGGCAGATATATTCAGCAGAGGCAGAATCTTTATAATACAGGGTTGTGGCTCTGAAGAACATTATGCAGAAATAGAAAACTAGAAAAGAGATGATTATAATCAAGAAAAAAAGGAAGATACTAGGACTTTTAGCCTAGTAGTTTTTTGTTTGTTTTTTAATCCTATTAAAGAGGATTCTGAACCACATCTATTATTCATACGAGGGATAGAGCAGAGGGACAGTTGGTGTCAGCCCACTTACTTGATTCCAAAAATAGGAGTGGCCAATAGCTATGTTTTAAGTTTGGTTTGAGGTTATAGCTAGTTTCAGCAGACCACGACAGACCATTAATAATTTTTTTTCAGTAATCTCATTTCTCCTCTGCTCACTTGGGTTTTGTGAAGCTTGTGTTTTGGGGTGACCTTTTCTATTTTTTAAAATAATTACTTATTTTTATTCTATTTATTATTTATTTTTTTAATTTGACCAGAGAGAGAGAGAAAAGAAAAGTGAGAAAGCAAGCTGCCAGGTCCAAAACTCAAACCATAGTCAGCTATGTGGGAGTCCAGCGACTTAACCACCACACCACCTGTCGACCTTCTGGGGTGACCTTTCCATGGCTGGGCACATTTCCCACCTGAATTTTGCTGGGCCTAACCGGTCCTCACCCTCAACCTCCCCTTTCTCAACCCTCTATCCTGTTTGACCTTTGCCTGCACCAGCTTTCACCAGGGTATGGAGAGATTTTACCAAACGAAGAACATTTATATGCATGCTCAAGTGAATTAATTTAGAAACTTTGGTAGACATAGGATTGGACTGAAAGTACTCATTGAGAATCTAAGGGATGGACTGGGGGTTGGGGGTATACGCACAGGCTGGACTAACTTTCCCAGGTCTAATGCAGCACTAAAACAGGTCTCTTGCCCTCTGAGTAGCCTCGTTCATTAACATTCATTCTGGTCCCAGTAGAGCACATGGATGCCCAAGGCAGAACCATACCACAGCCCTGCTCCATTGGATGTGAGTCAAGGTTGTGTGGGCTTTTCACACCATCCCCGTCTAAAGCAGAAAGCTTACATGAGAGGAAGTGGCCTTGAGCAGAAACGTGTTTATTCTGGTGTCTGAATACACCCACAGGCACCCATGCACACAAACTATGCATAAGCAGGCTTCTGCCAGGAGCCAGCTGGTGGTTCTTCTGGCCTCTAGGTTTAAGCCAAGTAAGAATCGGGTTGTTTTAGGTCTGGCTCTGGGGTTGCGTCCCTAGGACAGGCTGGTTTTGCGTGGGCGTGACTTAATCCAAATCTATAGATATGCAACGACACTGCTTCACACGTGTGACCCTCTTCTTCTTGGTGGACGGCTGTAGTTCAGGGCAGTTGAGGGTGACCATCATGGTGGTGAATTTCTTGGGTTTGCAGAAGGAGCAGGACTGGAACGAACCTTCCTCCTTCCGGATGTGCCTGGGGATGTAGAAGGAGTTGCACTGGCCGTAGCAGAAGCGGTTGATGATGGTGCGGCTGTTGCAGCCCTCCTCGTGGATGGTCTGCTTAAGCGGCTGAGTTTTGCACCAGTCTCGCTTCAGGTATTTGCGCTCGGTCACGTGGAGGGCCTCCTGGCTGGACTCCAGCACTTCCTCCCCTGGCATCGCGGTGCCCCGCCCGTGGCCCCGCCCCCGGTTCCTGGAGCCGGGCTGCTGCAGCGACTCAGTCTGCTCAGAGTCGTTGTTCTGGGCCTTGTCTGGCGGGGGGATGGCGCCCTGGGACCCTTTTTTTTTCCCTTCAGCAGTTGGCAACAGAGTGCCCAGGAGGAGAAGCAGGGCTCCCACAGTGTAGGCGGTGCGGCTCATACTAAAGGAGGGAAGAACAGAGTGGGGGAGACACAAAAAATGGAAGCGCTGATTAATTAAAAAATGAATAATAGCACCTAGCAGACCTTTTATGCAGCACTTGTTAAATACTTAACGCAAACCATTTCCTTCACTTCTCACAATACCGCTATGATTTAACTACTGTGATTCCCACTTCCTGCCCAGACATCAGCGATGAAGTAACCTACCGAGGGTCAAGTGGAGAAGTCCCGGATCAAGTGGAGAGGCCGAGACTGAAATCCAGCCAGGACCTGGCTGTCCGTAGTCTACAGGTACTCCCACCATTTTTTTCTGGCGTTTGACAACTGCATGTGATTCTGCATTAGGATGGTTTAACTGCATTCCTTCTCCTATTTGGCAGCTTTTAGTTAGTGCCTACTATGTCCATGCCCTAGTACCTTTGTGCCTTTTGGAGGAACTTATTTTATTTTGCCTTTTTTTAAAGAATTACTTTGTTTAACTTTATTTATCTATGTATGTATTTTAACTTGATCAGAAAGGGACAGAGTGAGAGAGACAGAGAAAGAAGGGGGAGTTGGGGTGACAAAGCAAGCCACCAGGTCCGGGACTCGAACTGTGGTTGGCCGTGTGGGAGTCCAGTACCCTTAACCACCACCACACCTGTTGGCCCCCTGGAACTTATTTTCAGTCTTGTTTTACAGCTAGATGAATTAGCCTCCCTGCCCAGGAGGCCTGATACACCAGGGAAGGTTCCTAGTCTTCTTCCCTATTAACCTGAGCCTTCAGCTGGCTGAATGCTTAGGAGACTGCATAGTCTAGACACCAGGACCAGACCCTAGGACTGGGGAGAAGACTAGAAAGCATCCAACCCAGGGAGAACAGCTTAACAGGAAGAAAACTGCTTGAATAGCCAAGACAGTAATTTCTTTTTTTTTTTTTTTTTGAGAGATTTTTGCTATAGGGCGTGTGTGCTCGCCAGACAGACAGAGAGAGACATAGAGACAGAAAGCAAGAAATCACCCCCCAGAGGGGATGGTCACGCCGCAATCCCTTCTCCTCCATTCTCCTCTCGGGATCTTGGGCACACATGCACACACACCAGGCGTGTTTTAAGCCACCGGGTCTAGGATGCGAACCGCAGTCGACTACATGGGAGTCCAGCGACATAGCCATTACGCTAACTGCTGGTTCCCAAGACAGTAATTTCTAATCACAGTCCTAGTTTACAAGTCACCATCTGACCTTGAGAAAGGTACTTTGCTTCTCAACAAATGACTACATTTAAACAAAGATACAGATCCCTCTCCCCACTTAGGCCACATAGACTGTCCAGATTAATTTGATATACAGTGAAAGCTATCTAAGCACTAACCAAATGGATGGCATTGCAGAGAGAATGAACATACCAGATCCAGGACTTGTAAGATTCTTTGGCCTCTCGCTTATTCTCATCTTTTTTTTTTTTTTTGAGAAGTTTTTGCTATAGGGCGTGTGTGCTCGCCAGACAGACAGAGAGAGACATAGAGACAGATAGAGAGAAATCACCCCCCCAGGGGGGATGGTCACACTGCAGTCCCTTCTCCATTCTCCTCTCAGGATCTTGGGCATGCATGCACACGTGCCCGGCATGAGTTTTAAGCCACCGGGTCTGGGATGCAAACTGTGGGAGTCCAGCAACATAGCCATTATGCTAACTGCTGGTTCCCTTGCTTATTCTCAGAGATATTCACTATATCATTCTTTATATCATGGATTACATTATTCTACCCTTTAAGTGGACAGATTTGTCATTCACATATGTGTCTGTGTGTGTATGTCTCTAACTTTTAAAAGGTATAAAGATGGGTGTGTGGCCAGCATGGGAGTACAGCTATAACACAATGCACTTCGACACTGAAGCCATATGGAAAAGTCCTGGGTTTGCACTCCAAGGTCTCCCTCTGCACGCGGAGCACCAGCACATGTGTCTGTGGTCCTGACTGGCTAAAGCTCGGGGTAGGCCGTGGCATAAAAACCTATGAGGAGTGCCTCTCATTCTCATTCCTCTCTCTCTCTCTCTGTCCCTCTCTCCCTCTCATGGGAGAAATATATCAATAAAACTTTTTAAAAGTAGGGACAATGTAGATTATGTGCACATTTTTACATTGATAAATGCCAAAGACATGCTGAATAAATTAATGTCAAGGAATTAGTGTGGACAGGTTTGGAGGAAGTTATTACTCAAAAAGGGTGATGGCATATGAACAATGACAAAAATAAGATACTAAGGGGGCGAGGCAAGGGAGAACTGACAAAAAGACAGGAAAGCATAAATGAGAGAGGGAAAAAATAGTGAACAATACAGATCAGGACAGGAAGACTCCTCTAGAAGCAGAGTGCTCAAGGAAGGTAGAATAGGTAGAAAAGGAGGAGGAGCTGGGGCAGGAGATAGTTTGTTTTGTTTTGTTTTGTTTTGTTTTGAGGTTTTTGCCTTAGGGTGCATGTGCTCACCAGAGAGAGAAACAGTGAGAATGAAAGTGAAAAAATCCCCCCCCACAGGGGATGGCCATGCTGCAATCTCTTCTTCGTTCTCTTCCTGGGATCTTGGGCATGCACACACATGCATCAGGTGTAAGTTTGAAGTCATCAGGTCTGGGACTCAAACCATGGTTGACCATGTGGAATCTAGCGATGTAACCGCACACCATCTGCTGGTCCCAAGAGTCACAATTTTTACAAGGAGAGTAAAATTTGAAGAAAGAAGACTTGTACTATGAAGATTTTCCTGGAACAGTGCTTTTCAGACCTGAAAATGCAGTCATCCGGAATATTGTTAAAATGCAGATTCTGATTCTGTAGGTCTGCCTTTCTAAAAATCTTTGTGTAGCAAGGCTCATAGCACTTGCAGTCATGGGCCCTAGAGGGAGTTATTAAAATGAGGGAGGATTTTCTTTACAATGAGTGCAGTTACAAATTCACAGCGTCTCTCCTCAGGCCACCACAATAATCTAACCAATCAGAGGCTTTTCCTCTTCCACCTCATGGTTTCTGAACTTAGGGACAGCTGTGACGTACCCCTTTCCTTGCTCTCTTTTTTTAAAAAAGGAATTATTTTATTTAACTTTATTTATTTAATTATTTAATTTGACCAGAGAGAGGAGAGAGAGAGAGAGAAAGAGAAAGTGAGAAAGTAAGCCACCAGGTCCAGAACTTGAACCACGATCAACCATGTGGGAGTCCAGCGCCCTCAACCACCATGCCACCTGCTGGCCCCTCCTTGCTCCCTTTTCTACACCAGTATTGCACATTATACCCACTAAATGCAATGTAATAGTAGCCATCTCATTTCCCTCCAAGAAACTGAACATGTTGATATTAGCTAGAGTACTTATCTTTCAAAGACAAAGGCAGTGTAGAATCTATGTGCTCTTATCTGGCCGATACTTATCTCTGGTAAGTAAAGATCATTCACTCCTAAGAATAATGCCAAATTAATAAATATGGAAGTATATTTAAATGGCACCATCTCTCCAGCATCAACTCAGTACCTTTGGGCAAGTTCAAGTTTGCAGCTAACAACGTGACATTTAACTCCTGCTCTGACTGTAGCTTCTCTGGTTTTTGTCAGTTCATGTTACAACATCCTTGTTCTTTAAACAGAGCCTCTTTTGACCCAATAACAAAAAAATTAATTTCTTTGTTTTGGCTTTTAAAAATCTGTCCAGCTAAAAAAAAAAAAAAAAAGCTCACTTATAAAACAGTAATGATTTTCTCCAGAGACCAGGATAACTTGAGCTGTGACTATTCAGTCTTCTAGGCAAATACATTGTGAATTTGGGTAGTTTTCACAAGTTTCTATTATTTATTCCATTTGGGGCTATGATTTAACATAAAACTCAAGGCTCCCCACTTCAATGGAAGAGTACATAAGATGCATCCACGATCTTCCTCACACTACTGAAGATAAAACCTCTAAGCCAACTCAGCTCTCCAGGTCCACCTCAGAGCCCATCATCACAAAGACCAATCTGACACTAACCGGGAATGTCCATTGATAGCAGATGACAGGTTCACTTTATAAGGCCATCCCCTTCCACACACATCTGTCCAAAACAATGGGGTTTTCTTTCCCTGGACCAACTTAGGACCCTCTTTGTGTTCAGCATTTCCTTTCTGGCATGTTCACCTCTGTTACTGCATACGTATCTACTGTGAAAGTTGATGAGGGCTTGTTCATCACCTTATCTTTGGTGCCTGGCACAGAGAAGTTACCCACTAACATTCGTTGAATGAATGGTGTATGATTTCCATTCTTTGCATTGTAAAATATCATCACGGATGCAAATAAGTGGAAGAACCAAATCTAGTTCTTTTGGTTTCTGATGTCAGTTCAGCAAACTTTTCCAGCCTAGATTTTCCTAGTACTTGTCTTTTTTTCTCCAAATGTCCCTAACTTTTTACCTGGCCCCGTGTTGAATGCTGTGGGTTTTATTTTCTAATTGAAACTATTGGATATACTATGGCAGAGCCCAACAAGAAAGTAAATTCAAATCAGTCAACTGTGGATTTCAGTTTTCATTTAAACAGGCTCACTACCCCAATAGGAGAATAGAGTTCGAGAGTGACAGGTTGTTTTTCTTTTTTAAGGGAAAGTAAGTTTTTCTCAAAATAAGCCTTGTTGGATTTGAGAAATGAAAGGTTTTTTCATTTTTTCAAAAGCCTGTTCTATAAAGATTTTCAGTGCTTATTGTGAGGCTTTCAGGTTCTTAGCTTTTATAATTATTTAGAGAGAAGTAAAAACAAACTTCAAGAATGTCCATCAAGGGAACCAGCAGTTAGCGTAATGGCTATGTCGCTGGACTCCCACGTAGTCGACTGCGGTTCACATCCTGGACCTGGTGGGTTAAAACTCACGCAGGGCGCGTGTGCGTGCGTGCCCAAGATCCCGAGAGGAGAATGGAGGAGAAGGGATTGCGGCGTGACCATCCCGCCTGGGGGGTGATTTCTTGCTTTCTATCTCTCTGTCACTCTCTGTCTTTCTGGTGAGCACACACGCCCTAGCAAAAACTTCTCAAAAAAAAAAAAAAAAGAATGTCCATCAACAGCTTCTTAGAGAACAAGATGCACACTGTACATTCTACATGAGTTAACCGGGAGTGGGGTGAGAACTAGGAACAGGACTGCAATCAGAGTTCTGTCAAGTAATTGTGATCACTCATCTAAGCCCTTCCCAGCCCCAAATTAATCTTGACTACTCAATGAAGGAAACAGGAATATTTTGCTCTTGAAGTCCCAATTGTCTTGCCATCAAATAATTTGCATTTAGGAAATATCATATTAATAAATGTAGAGGAAAACAAGAAATTCCTAAGAACATTTTCCCCCACATAGCACCTAGCACAGTGCCCCATGATAAAAATTCAGTCCAAATGCTGATCCAGATTTAAGTTTCTGTGAATTATCACCCATG